CTGGGCAGGGAAGCGCAGCAGACAGGAGGCAGAGAAAATCCAGCGCCCTTCCTACAGCCCCCCCTCCCCCAGGCTCCAGCCCCGCTTCGAGAGCCCCTCCCCCTCCGGTCCTCTAGCCCAGCCCCACCTGTGGCTCTGCACCCCGAAGGGCGCCCCGCAGAACCGCTTCACCTCCATGGTGCTCGCGGGCCCGCCCCCGGCAGCGAGGCCCTTCCCTCTTCGAGGGACTCCGGCGGCGGCGGGACTTCTCCGCTCAGCGGGTCGCGGGTCCCCGCTCGTCGCTGCCACAGCAACGGAGCCTTGAGATTTGTGATTCGCCAGAGAACCGCTGCCGTGTCTCTGCCGACGCGGCTGCCCGCGCCGGCCTGCACGCGCTGTGCCCTGACTTTTCTTTTCTTTTTTTTTTTTTTAAGCCTTTATTTATTTATTTTTTAGAGAGGAGAAGGGAGGGGGAGAAAGAAAGGGAGAGAAACATCGACGAGCGAGAGAAACATCCATCAGTCGCCTCTCGCAGGCCCCCACCCGGGGCGTCCCACTGAGACCCACCGAAGGGCCGACCTGGGTGAAGACGGCACCTGGTTCCTCCTCCACTTCGGGAAGAGAAGGAGAGCCAGAAGGGGGAGGCATGAATAAGGCCACAGAGAGGGAAGGAATGGGTGAAAGGGTAGAGTCGGGCCTCATCCTCCTTCCGTTGTCCTCCCTCAAAAACACAGTCACCTCCATCTGCAGAGGCTGTACAGGGTGCGTGGGACCCACGTGAGGTCCCGGTCCTGAGACTCTAGTGTGGAAAACAATGACCACAAAGTGTGCCCAGCCTGTGGGTAGATCAGGGAAGGCTTCCTGGAGGAGGAGCATCCCAAACTCATCACTAAGTATGTGTTTGACCTGCTGGGTAAAGAAAGCAGTTGAGAGTATGTGCTCTCCTCTCTCCTCCTTGTCTGTCTGGAACAGCAGAGAGCCACATCTCATTATGATGACAGGACGTAAGTCAGAAATAGGACTTCCTTTGCATCTAACCCATGGTGGAACTGGACTACTGGGCCAGTGGGTCTCCTTTCAGGCCCCGCCCAACGCCCTTCTGACAGCCAGTGCAGCATTTTTTAAAAGACTTTATTTATTTATTTTCAGAGAGAGGGGAAGGCAGGGAAAAAGAGGGGAGAAACACTGAGGTATGAGAGAAACATCAGTCAGTTGCCTCTTTCACACCCCCAGATGAGGACCTGGCCCACAACCCAGGCATGTGCCCTAACCAGAAATCAAACCAGTGACCTTTTGGTTTGCAGGCCAGAGCTCAATCCACTGAGCCACACCAGCCAGGGCCAATATAGTATTTAAATAGGAATTCCGGGCCCCCAGCATAGCCATGAAGCCCAGGCACCAGGCTAGGCAGGCACACGGCCCTGGCTGCTGAGCTGAACACACAGAACAGACAACTGGGTCATCCAAACACAGACTCTGCCCCTTCCCAACTTTGCTACCTTGGGCAAGCACTTCCTTTTCTGATTTTCAACTTTCTTACCCATAAAATAAAGCTAATAATCTCTGTCTCTCCAGATTGCTGTGAGGATTAAATGAGTAAATTTAGGTATTCTCCTGGCAAGTAACAGAAGCTCAGTGAGAAGTCATTACCTGTCCTTGGAAAGGTACCTTCAGAATGTCCAGGGCAGAGACTGGGTCTCATTCAATCCTGGGGCAGTACCTGGCACATAGTAAATGCTCAGTAAATATTCGTTGAATGACAAGTGAACAAGTAAATGAATCTAGTCCAACTTCCTGAGAGTGCAGGAATCTTCAAAGGGACTCATGTTTGAATCCTGGCCCTGCTGCTTCCTAGCTGCTGACCTTGGGCAAGTTACCCTGGCCAAGGTTCAGTTTCCTTGTCTGTGACAGGAATGTGGGACTGCAGCCTCCTGGAGGAGCCGCGTTTGTGTGTCAGTGAGGTGTGGCTGTGTACACTACCAAGTCCTGAGCATGGGGAGTCCTTGTGACCAGCCCTGGGCCTGCTCAGGTACTCTCAGGGTGACCCAGACCCGCCTGGGCTGCTTCTATCCCACCCCGAGCCTCTTGGTTGTAGTGCTAACAGAGGAGTGACTACAGGATGTGGGCCAAGGTCCACTGGGCTGGGAGTGCTGGCTGCCAGACAGACCAGAGCAGGCCAGGGTGAGTCAGCTGTGCAGCAAGGCAGCCTGCCCTGGTCCAGTCTCCCCACCACAGCAATTCACTCTCTCTCTCTGCTAGGCAGAGCTGCAAGCCACCTCCTACCGTATTACACAGGAGAGGAAACTAGGCCTCAGACAGGGAGAGTAACTTGCCCTGGTCACATCTAGTGAGGTGTAGGATCAGACAGTGGATAAGAAACTCATAACCGGGGTCCGGAGTTCCCTGGCTGCAAGAGTTTCTAACTCTTCTCTCCCTCTTTCACCTTCCCTTCTCTTCTCTCTACAAATACATACATATATAAATCTTAAAAAAAAAAAAAAAAAGCCCTGACTGATGTGGCTCAGTGCACACCAGTGGCTCAGGGGATCGTCCTGCAAACCAAAAGGTCACCAGTTCAATTCCTGGTCAGAGCACATGCCTGGATTGCAGGCCAGGTCCCTAGTTTGGGGAATGCAAGAGGCAACTAGTCAATATTTCTCTCCCTCTTTTTCCCTCCCTTCTCCTCTCTCTAAAAATAAATAAATAAAATCTTTTTAAAAAGCTTTTAACTCAACCAGATTTCTGGAGCCATCTATGTTATCAAGCGAGTGAGGTCAAGCTTCTCGGCCAGGACACAGGCCTCTGTGGCGGGGCTGTGGCTGCTGCTTCGGTCCTCATCCACTGCCCTCTCCTGTCCAGCTTTGCCCCGTGTGGGCTGCTCTGTCCACATGCACACCCCACACTGCACACCTCCAGGCTTTTCACGTGCCTTTCCTGCTGTCAAAGTACAACTCCTACTCACCTTCTCAGTCAGATCAAAAGGCATGATGCAAAGCTCAAAATGAAAACTGGAAAAAATAACAAGTGTTGGCGAGGTTGGAGAGAAATTGGAATATTTGTGCATGGCTGATGGGAATGTAAAATGGTATAGCTCCTGTGGAAAACAGACCAGCAGTTCTTCAAAAAACTAAGTGTAGAATTACCACACAACCAAGCATTTCACTTCTGGGTGTATACCCAAAAGAATGGAAAGCGGGGTCTCAAATAGATATTTGTATATCCATGTCCAGAGCGGCATCGTTCCCAATAGTCAAGAGGTGGAGGCCACCCTCTTGGGGTGAATGGATACATAGATAAATAAAAGGTGTAATATTCATACAATGAAATATTCAGCCTTAAAAAAGGAGATTCTGACATATGCCACAACGTAGATGAACATTGCCAACGTTAATCTGAATGAATAAGCCAGACACCAAAGGGCGAATGTTGTATTATGCCACTCATTTGATGTAGGTAAGGTAGCAAGTTAGTTGAGACGGCAGTTGAATGAATGGCAGTTCCCAGGGGCTGGGGCAGGAGGGTCTGGGGGTTGCTGTTCAATGAGGGCGGAGTCTCAGTTTGAGAAGGTGAAAAGTTCTGGACGTGGATGGTGGTGATGGCCACACGACAGTGTGAATGCTCTTAATGCTACTACACTTACACTTAAAAATGATTAAAGTGGTCAATTTTATGTTAAGTATATTACCACAATAAGTACTTTGTAAAAAGCCAAACATTCTGGAATCCTTCCTGGTCCTTCCAAGCAGGTCAGAGCCCACATTCCGCCTCCCAGTCTCCAGAACTTTATAGTCACAAATTTTCATTAAATTATTGAATCTTTTTTTAAAGATTTTATTTATTTATCTTTAGAGGGGAAGGGAAGGAGAGAGGGAGAGAAATATCACTGTATGGTTGCCTTTCGTGCATCCCCTGCTGGGAACTGGCCCCTGCTGGGAACTGGCCTGCAACCCAGGCATGTGCCCTGACTGGGAATCTAAATTATTGAATCTTATACTTGAAAATTACAGGTGAAAATAGCACCAGAATGTTGTTTTTGTTTACGTTTTTTATTATTCAAGTCAAATATTTTTCTAAGTTTACTAGTTGGTTCTATTTCCTCTTTTGAAAATGAGACTGATTTTCAAGCAGTAGAAGCAGCAGGGTCTCCAGGAGCCCGGCCCCAGTGGAAAGAGGGGCAGGAGGGCCTCAGAAGCTCAGACTGGCTCCGAAAGCCAAGCCCTGCAGGACGAACGGCCTTGTAGCAGGAGGCACAGCCCAGCCTTCTAGAGAGTAGTGAGCTCACGCTTTTCAAGGCCTCAGGTCGGGTGCAGGATGGGCTGGGAACCAAGGGTAAGGGGTGGGAGCTGGCAGTTGTGCAGAGTGACACCGGGTTCACCTGTGACATCTCCCCTGCCCCTGGGTGAGAGGATGTCACCTTCGTGTCAGAGATGAGGAAAGTCTGAGGTGTGAAATTATAAAGATCACACCTGAGCGGTGGAGAACCAGCATTAGAACCAGCACATAGAGCCCCTGGGTCTCTCCAATGGGGCCAACTGCAGGGCAGAGGGGGCAGCAAGACCCCAAGTGCAGAAGCCTGATGAATAAGGCTGAAGGCAGAGCGGGAGGGAGGTGGCAGGCTGCATTCAGAAGAAGGACACTGAGGCACTATGGTGAGGATGGGACAGCAGGGGGGCTGTCCCATCAGTGAGAGGGGCTGTCGCAGGCATCTGGAAGGGCCACTCCTGACTCTCCTAGTCAGAGAGTGAGCTCAGGGTGGGTGGCGTGGTGCCCACCGAGGATGGCCTGGTTGAGCACATCTCAGTGCTGTGACCTCGGCAAGTCCTTTTTCCTCCTGAGCCTCGGTTTCTTCAGCAGAGAACGAAAATATGCCTTTTGCCATGCGCCGGGGTTTGTGCGTCCGCATTTGGCAATGCACCTGTTTATCGGGCACACCTGGTCGTGCAATGCAGGCGTTAAGAGCCGCGGAGCAGCGAAAGCGGAAACACCCACAGGGACCCACCCACCGGCGGGAGGCGCTCGGGGACCCGGAGGTGGCCGCGCCCTGAGCCGCCGAGCGCTGACCTTCCCCTCCCGCGCCGGCTCGCTCGGGTGGGCACCTCATCCACCGCCCTCCGCAGCCTCCGGGGCAAGGGCCAGGTCCGGGGAGCAGTGGGGCAGACATGGCGGACCCCGAGGCTGCGGCCGAGGACCTGGACGCCCTCATCGACGACCTGGACTACCTCCCGGGCCACTTCCACCTAGAGATGCAGCTGAACTTCGAGCCACGCTCGCCGGCCTCGCTCCGCGCCCGAGACCTGAAGCTGCAAAGGGATGGCCTGCAGCAGGAGCTCGAGCTGGCTGCTGCCCCGCAGCGTGCGGCGGTGCGCCACCTCCTGGGCACCTTTGCCTTCTACCTGGAAGAGGTGGATGAAGCCCGAGAGAGCTTCCTCGAGGTGGCCCGTGAGGACCCGGGCAACCTCAACGCCTGGGCCAATCTGGCACACGTGTACGGGCGACTAGGGCAGGAGGAAGAGGAAGAGGCTTGTGCTGGGAGGCTGGCCAGCCTCATGGGCCTGGCGGCTGACCCCAAGGCCGATGGGGACCCCCAGCTCCGAGCCGCACGCTGCCTGGCGGAGCAGGGATATGCACACGGCTTTGACGTGGGCTGTGCCAGCCCAGAGGAGCACGCGCGGGTGCTGGCGGCGGGCATCGCACTCTATGACAAGGCGCTGAGCTACGGGCAGCAGGTGGGTGACCCTACCCCAGGCTGGGAGGGCTGAGGTCGTGGCCCTAACATCTACAGGGATGTCCCTGCACCCCCAACACCCCCCAAACCCTGGTCCTTTGGCTTCCAGGGGAATTTCTGGATGTGCCTCTCCTATCCAGCATCACCCTTGGGTCCCAGACCAAGTCTGTAGCTTTTCTCTGCTGGACAAGGGGTGGACCCTCTTCCTAGGGGGGCAGCCTGTGTAGGTGTTTGTTCTGGCAACATCACAAACTCAACTTGGCCAACTCGTCCCTCTCACTGTACCCCTCCCAGCAACTACCTGTCCATGTGTTTGTGCACACTCACCTAAGCAAAGGCTCAACCAGACATCCCACCAGAAATGTGGGCTCCTCGCCCCCTCTCCCCACCCATTCAGACCTCACATCCTACCCATTCTACCACCTAATATCTGAGGTCTGCCCCCTCCTCTCCAGCCTCCGTCATTCCCTGCCAGGACCAGCATCATTGCCATCACCCTCCTGGGTTCCTGACCTCTGGTTTGACCCTCTGCTTGGTCCTCCAACCTGCTGCCAGTGTCAGGTCGCCCAGTCTTGCTGGCCATGTCCCTCAGCTGCTTACGACCCCCAGGGACTCCACACTGCCTGGCAGATGAGTCCAAGGCTCTGCGGGAGGCGGTTGAGGCCCTGCTCGATCTCTGCCCTCCCCCTGCCATGTCCCCCTCCAGCCAGACTTTTCCCATGCTCAACTCCCCCTTACTCCCCTTGAGCCAGGTCTCCTCACGACCCCCTTGCCACTCTCTCCGCCCCTTTCTGAGGTGCCCCCTTCTGCTCACTTTTGCCTGGAAGGCTCTCGCAGTCCTGGGCATCCCTCCACTGACCTCAGGCTGTGTCACGTGCCCCCCTGGCTCCCACAGCACTGCTCACTCTGTGCATTTACATCTGTCTCCCCGACTCAACCTCGAGGTCTCTGAGAGTGAGGACAACGCCTGTGTGGCTTACCACGCTAAACCCAACACCTGGAACGGCGCCTGCTACACCGCGGCACTCACTAAAAATGTAGCGAATGAATGTGGGTGCAGTATAGTGCGTGGCACTGCACAGACAAATACTAGGTGTATTAATTACCTATTGCAGCATAACAAATACCCTTCAAAACTTAGCAGCTTAAAGCAATAAGCATTTATTATCTCGGGGGTTTGTGGGTCAAGAATCTAGGCGGGGCTTAGCCGAGTGCCTTTGGGCGGTGGCCTCATCTGAAGGCTTGCTTGCTCTCCTTCCAGGCTCGCTCGCTTGACAGGGGACAGGATTCAGTCCTCACTGGCTGTGCCAGAGGCCTCCCTCAAACCCTTGCCATGAGGACATCCCATCATTTTTGCTACATTCTGTTCAGGAGAAAGGAGGTTTCGCCCTCACCCAAAGGGAGGGGTTGCACAGGACACGGGTATCAGGAGGTCGGGATCACTGGGGCCAGCGCAAAGGTAATCTGCATCGGATGGCAGGTGAATGGAGGGCATCGCCCTCCTCCCTACAGAGGAGGGGTCCTCAGTTCAGAGACGTACCATGAGTGTTCTGGGAAGGCTCAGCACAGGCGGAGTCGAGCTGACAACAGTGGCATTTCATAATGGTTTAGATCTGTGATATTCAAATAATGGCGTGCCTCCATACCAGGCTCCCCTCACAGAGCCTCTGTTTACCTCCTTGGAGCCTCTTCCACAAAATCTCATGGCTTCAGAGAGGAAATGTGGGGTCCAGACCTTACAGGTTGTGGGGTGGAGGGCAAGGACTTAGTAGGAGCAGTGCAGGGTGGAGGTGAAGACAGTAGACTCTGGTCAGGGGGTCCGGGTCCAAACCCCACCTGCCCCGTGCACCCTCACCTCCAGTCAGTCTTTAGCATCACTGAGCTTCTATTTCCCTCTCTGTAAAACGGGGTTACTGATGGTACTCATGTCCTTGGCTTCCTCACCTATGAAATGAGGACATTCTCACCTGGTTGGTGTTGCAACTAGGAGTTGATATGTGGAAAGCAACTGGAACAGAGCCGGTACAGAGACTGCAGGACCACAGACACCCCCTGTCTCTCCCGGCCTGGGAGACTCACCTCGGCCCCATGCCTGGTGTTGCTGTGGCCAATGAGTGTGGCCAACAGGTCTCCTGTTTTAAAACTGGAGCCTGGGGCCCTAAATGCCAGCTGCCCTTGGTGGCACAGCCAGCTTTGTTGGTACTGAGCCCTGGGCTAGGATCCAGGAGGACTGCTAGGGGGTCTTCTGCTGTCCGGGCTGTGGTTTCCCCAACTGTGAAATGGGGGAAGGGAGGGGACTGGGTGGTCTCCACGGTCCCTCCCTCTTCTCCCAAAGAGGTCCACTGGGGGAAGCCTTCCTGGAGGCGAGCAGGGAGGCAGAGGTTGGGCGTAGGGATGGACTGGAGGCTGGATACTCACTCCCCGGCAGGGGTCACCTACCTAGAGAGGTACTTCCCAGAGGAGGGAGTGTCAAGCAGGCCACTGCCCAGTGCCCCAGGGAGAGAGCTGATTGCATCAGGTGGGAGGTGGCCCCGGGGCTCTGCGCCGAGTCCTCGGGCCTGGCCAGCTGCTGCTCCCCGGGTCTGGACAGAGAGGCTGTCGTCACTCCCCCCACCCCCAACAAATCCCAGGAGAAAGCTGGGAGTTTGGAGCTCGATTTTGTCAGCTGAGGATTAGAAGAGGTGGTGCTTATAATGCAGCTGACACAGAGTAGGTGCTCAAGAAATAGAAGCAATCGGGATAATGATGATGATTTCATTATAGTTAGAGGAAGGAGGTTGGGTTCGAGCCCTCAGTCTCATCACTGTGCTGTGTGGCTCTGGACAAGTCACTTTCGTCCCTGGCCTCAGTGTCTGCTGCATGAACGGTATAAACAGTCGTGATCTCAGTTCACCGATTATCTGATTGAGTCAGGAGGTGAAGCTGTGCATAAGCTGGTCAATCCTGGGCATGTCTGTGAGGCATACACTCAGCATCTTAACCTTTACTGAACCCCTGCTGTTTGCCAGGCCCTGTCTTTAAGAGGCTCATAGACAAAGGGAGGAGATAACATTTGTTTCTTCATAAACTAGTCTTGCCTGGGCCCCTCCGCTGGGAGCAGGAGCCAGAGGGGCAAGTCAGAGATGTGTCTACAACAGGCTGAGGTCACAGGCATTTGTTACCTGGCCTGTGCCATGAGACAGTCACCTCTGACTACTGAACGACCATACTTTCTGAACCAAAACAGGCCCCCGGAAGCTGACAAGGAACGTGTGTTTTGAGGACATCAGGACCAATGTTGGAGTCCACAGTGACCTGGAAAGTCCAGGTCCTGGGGACAGAGTGGCAGTGACTGAGTGTCAGAGAAATAACACTTCCTTTCTGCCTAAGTGACTGAGGGAGGCTTCTGGGTGAGGCAGCAGCGGACTGGCAGGAAGGGCGTGAGGGCACCCCCAGTTCCGGGCCTGTGGGGGGCCTGCCCGGCTTCAGGGCTTTGGTGCAGCTGCCCTGGGGCTCAGGGGTGAGGTCTGAAAAAAAGGCAGCCGGAAGCTTCATGGGATGAGTGCGGCCTGGCCCTGATGGTTCCCGCCCTCCTCTTTAACCGCAGTCCTCTTACTTCCCTTGAACCGACTTCCCAGCCATGCTTATCCTTCTCCAAACACCCTGTGCTGCCCCATCCCTCCCCAGGCAGCCACTGCTCCCTCTTCCTAGAAAGCAGACTCCATCCATAAAAACCCAGCTCAAATGTCACCTCCCCCTTGAAGCCTTCCTTCATGCAACTCAGCTTAATCAGCAATATTCACGTCCTCTGTGGGTGCCTTCCAGACTTTATCTTCGACAGGCCTCACAAGAATCCTCTGATCCCATTTTACAGATGTGGGAACTGAGGCACAGCCAGGCTGAGTAACTTGCTCAGGGCTACAGTAAGTAGCGGTTAAATCCACTCCGCTCTGCCTGACTTCAGAGCTTAGGCTCTATCTGGAGAGGTCAGAGAAGTAGGGGTACAGTGACTGTGGTGCAGATGGCTGGTGGGTGGTGAGGGGAGACCCCTCACAAACCACCTCCTGGAAGTCTGGGGTGAAGGAAGTGTTGAGAGAGAGAAGATGGTTTTGATACAGAGAGATCTGATCAGACCACTGGGGAGAAGTAGGGAGGGGAGGCAGGAGGAGGCAATGGTAGATGGTCTAGGACGGGATTGGCTGAGAAGCTGAACTCTAGAGCGCATGGAATTATGGGCCAGGAGATTTGAAATAAAAGAAGGGCTCTCAGGCCCTCAGATGGGCTGATGCTGGTTCAGGCTCTTCTCCCTGGAGAAAGCGTGGGTGATTGTGCTGCAGCTGCCCGTGTTCCCAGTTTGGACAGCGTTTTGGATGGGAAGGAACTCCGGGCACAGCCTCGGATCAGGCTGGCCTGGCAGAGGGTGGCAGGGTTATTCTTCTTTGGGGGCTTTAGGGTGGGTGAGCTGTGAGGCAGAAGCCTGCCATTCCAAAATCGTGCTCAAGAAATGACCTTGCCAAAATTCTTCCAAAATTGTGTAGCTTTTGTATCTTAGGTTGTTTTAGTTTGGAAACTAACCCTATAGAAATAAGATAATTGAAAGCGGGGAGAAGGATAGGAAAACTCAGGTGTTAAAGAGTTTAGCCTTAATCGACCGGTTTAAATGACTAATGCAAGTGGAAAGCGGTTATTCCAAAATTGTGAAGCTTTTGAGTAAGGACCCCTTTCCTTTAACACCAAACCTTTGCCTGCCTCCGGAATTTTGCCTAGAGGGTGGCAGCGGGCAGTGGGACCCCAGTTGCTGTTTGGAAACAGTTTTCCATGTATCCTGAGGGGTCTGGAAGGATGAAGGCAGAGATGGCGTCAGAGTCAGGGCCGGGGAGGAGGCAGTGGGACAGCAGAACAGCAGCTGTGCCCCCCCCCGCGCAGTGTAGAGGGTCACCCCCGCAGGAGCAGAGCTGGGCCGAGCGGCTGGTGGTCTGAGCACCCTGTGCTGCAGTCCCGAGATTTTCCATCCCAGGGGGCTGGGACTCTCCCGGGCAGGAAGGGAGCCCCTGGAGTTCGAAGACTAAAGAGCCTCTGAAGAACCCATGGACAGCTGCTCCTCTGCTAACTAAAATTACAAGAGAAAACATTACAAAAGCTAATAATCTGGCCCATAATCCAAAAACAAGCAGAGTGTTTGTGTGGAGTGGGTGAGTGTTTACGGCTTCCTTTCCCAGCTCTTCATGCCCTCCTTTCCTCTTTCTCGTTACAAAAATATGATTAGGCAGATTGCTTTCATCTGTCATTCCCCCTCCTTCCATCCCCCCACACACGGTCACAGATGGATGCTTGTGGCAAATCACAAGCTTGAGTGGGTATTAAGAGCATTTGGAATTAGACCAGGTTAAAATTCTGCTTCCATCACCAGGTGGCTACAGGCAGTCATTTCACTTTGCTGAGCCTGGTTTCCTTATCTGCAAACAGGAATTTTAACAGCTGTCTCGCAGGGCCGCTGTGAGGGTGAAGCGAGAGAACGCGGAAGGCTCCCGGCAGGACGCAGGTCACATCAGGGGCCCGACCCTTCTCCCTGCCCACCCTGTGGCCCCACAGCGCTTTGCTGTTGCTCCTCAGCAGAGCCGTCCCCAGCCTCTGGCTCATCTCCGAGGGATTTGCGCTCCAGAGGGCCAGCGCTCTGTCTGGGGCCTCCCCTCTACCTCCCCCCCAAACCAGTGTCTAGCACAGAGCCAAACACCCAGAAGGAGGTCGTGACTACTGTTCAGTTTAGTTGAATAGCTGAATTTTGAAAGTCTTAAAATTCCAAACCTCTTATTTCTTTGTAAATAATGCAACTCAAACTCATATTTCTTTAAAAAGTGGCATCCCTCCCTGGCCACTGTAGCTCAGTTGTTTGGAGTGTCATCCCATAAACTGAAAGGTTGCAGGTTCAATTCCCAGTCAGGGCCCATACCTGGGTTGTAGGTACATTCCCCAGCCAGGTACATATGAGAGGCAACTGATCGATGTTTCTCTCTCACCTTCCCTTCCCCTCTCTTTAAAATCAGTAAGCATGTCCTCGGCCAAGGATTAAAAACAAAAGAAAGAGTAACATTCCCGTCCCAAGTTCACTCAGTTATTTGAGCGTCTCCCCCCTTTCCCGTGGTCCAACGCCGTCCCTCTTCCCTGCTCCCCGCTCCGGCAGGCCCTGGGGGGTGAGGACAGACCGCGGAGGGCGCCCTCCATTCCAGCCTGTGCTTGGAATTTCACGTTCCTTCATGCATTCAGTTTTTATCCAAACCTCACAGACACTCTGCCAGCTGAGTATTGTGGTTCCTCATTGTACCAAGGACACCTCAGGCTTGGAGAGGGAGGTGACGTGCCTAAGGTGACCCAGATTTTGCCTGGCAGCAGGGGCAGGAGGGGAAGAAGGCCGTCCTGGCAGGTCAGCCTCACAAACAAAGGTGTGGACATTCCCATCGCCACAGCCATGGGGTGGGGACC